TATATTTTATTAATATAAATGAACAAACAATTAATAAGAAATGATATTGTTTATAATTATTTTATTAGCTATTCTTAAGCTATTTAACTACTATAGTCTATAAGCTACCCTTATATTTTATGTACAGCTATACAAGGCCGCCCGTAGAAATTTTTCTCAGGGGGGCCAGCGAAAAATAATACACTTACCATAAATTCTATTTTTTATACCACATCGTAAAAAAAATTATTTATTTATTTTAATATTGCAAGTGTCACCTTATCAGTTATCAGTCCTCCTTATCGCCCTCCAAGACGCTGTATAAAATGCAAATAAATGCAATAAAAATTAGGTAATATCTTAATTAGCGGGAGGGGGGGCTTGCAGCTATACCAAACATGAATGTAAGAAGAAAATTAATTCTTAGACATTTACAGTTTACTGTAATAGTGTAATACTACGAAACTATAAAATATAATAATTAATATCTGTATAGCAAATCTTTGATTAATTAAGTTGTTTTTTTTTTTTAAATAACTTAAAATTTATGCATATAGCTTATTTGTATTATACAATTTCTTTATTAAAAATTTAAAAAAAAAACTTAATTCAAGACATAAATTACGATTTTAATTATTTTTATGATTAACTCTGTTGTATCGATTTTGAAAATAGAATGAATAAATAATAATTATCTAAGTACCTATCTATTTATTGTGTAAATATTTGTTAATATATTCAGTATTTGAAAACAAATTAAATATACAATATATATATTTTAGGTGAGTTTATTATATTTACCAATTATAATACAACGAATACATAATAGTTTATAAGTTTATTGTAAGTACATAAATACGTACGAATAATAATGTAGTATTTAGGCATTATTTAAACAAATTTGTTTTTGTTTGCACTAATAAAATTTTTTAAATATTGATATCTTAAACTTCAACAACAAATTTTATATGTAGGTATAACATTTATAACACAATATCCTTGTTTACTGATCAAGTGAATATGGGCAATAAATGCGTTTTAATTTTAACTAAAAATCGTGTCAGTGGTGATAATTCGTGACGGGCCCATTGCCAGATGCTTTTTCGTATCGGTAATAATAAATGACATCACGTTTTTCCACTATATACAAACTATATTGTTGTATGGACTTATTTCACTAAATAATAACGATAAAAGTGTGCGTTTTAAGTAGTGTATTTTAATATATCGGAACTTCGATGTGGGTGTAAGCTACAAGTTTATACTCGTGTCCATAAATCTAGGAATTGTGATTAAAATAACCCTTGAAGGCTATTAGACCCGGACTAAGTATTGCCGAAAGTCGTGCCAATTTTTTTCTTAGTGTCTTTAAGAAATTTTCTAATTAAAATTATCAAACTAAATAATTCATTTCAACTTGCATATATTATACATTTATAACTTAGAGATTTTACATGCGTTAGGTGTGTATTACTATACTTAAAAACACTAAAATGTTAGTATGTATATATTTTATATTCTCTGTATCGGATCAATTAGTCTAACTACTTTGACTTTCGCGCTTCTAAACTATAATCAATCTACCAGACTGTGAAGTTTTCAATTTTCTCATTTTAGTTCACTATGTTTAATTTTTTTATCATTCGAGAAATTACATAATCTGTTCTTCTATGGTACAATAAATGCATGCAAATTTAAGCGACGTATATATGAAATTACCATACAAGTAAACAACTATAAATTGTATTTACTATAAAAATTACTGAACTATGTGTTGGTAACTATTACCCACTGTCATAAGTACCTATAGTTGTTAATTCTAATATTAGTTTATTAATTATTACTTAAATTTGGTCAGATGTTATTAGGTTACGGGGCCTTATACCATTTATTTTTTATTCGCATATGTTATTTTTGATACATCCATATATATACTGTTATAGATATCGAATTAAACAATCCACTCCTGTTTTAAATAACAATAGGTTGTTAGTGGCAAATTATCTTACAACGCTCATGCCTTGAATATTATATGTTATAGTCTTAAATTGAATAATGCAAACATCTGGGAGAATATTTTGAAAATAAATTATAGGTATACATAAATTATAGCTTATATATAATATATAGGTAGGTGGTATTAGTATATTATATGGGTGACACTCCTCAATCACACGCGCACCGGTCAATTATTTTGTAGTCCGTAACCGTATTTCCGTTGGTCATTTCCTGCGAATAATGAAAAAAATTCACTATTACAATAAAAACTTAAACAAAATATCATCTCGCACACATATAATATTATAGTGTACTAAAAATGACGATACATATATAGGTCATAACTATATAACATCGTTTGTTATGTACATTTGTTAGTCACCTTGGCATCTATAAAGGTACCCTCGTGTGTTTAAAATATTTTTTTCTAAATTAATTATACCTATATCATTTATTGCCCTGAAATTATTTTATGTATTTAAAAATAATTATTGGTCATAGAAGCTTATAAAATTTCAAAATATTTCTAATTCTTAGATTTAGACAATAATTGATAGAGCTTTTGACAGTAGGTATCTATATCGTATTTTTAAAAAATTACGCATAAAATCAATTTTTGTGCTTTTGAAATGATATATACCTACTAAATAAAACAAAATACTTATTTATAATTTGTGTTCAGTATAGAAATATTATATTATGAGCATTTATTAGAGTTTAATGAATGAAAATGTTTTACATAATATTTAATCCTATAATTAGCCGTTTTTTGTATGTTTAAAGTACTTTCCGTTTCGGTATACTCACTTGTTGGCTAATACACAGTGATTTAATTCAGACAAATGGGGTTATGAATATTTGACGTAATTGTTCCTAAGATAGTCTGTGTAAACAATAAATGAAACTTAAAATGTCTAGCTACAAATTGATTCGTTTCCAACCAAAAAAATAAAACCTCTGTTAACCTTAACCTAAATATATCGACATTTATATCTGTCTGTCTCAATATTAGGTATACTTCCATAAAATTTTCTAAATAAAAAAAATACGTTCAATGGTTAAATTATATTTTCTTTAATTATAATGTTAAAATCATTAAGACTAAAATCAGCTAAAAATTATTTATCATCAAAAGTAGTTGTATTATTTGTGTGTACAAAAATCTTAAACCACCGCTTTCACTATACCGTGTCGTGTAGAACTGAATATATTCACCTTGTAAGTAATGCGTTACAAAAATTTTGTTACTTATGTATTAAATAAATAAAAAGCGTACGGAACATAACACTACACGGTGTAGTGTAAACCCGGTCTTACAGACGTTTCTTAATTTATTTATTTTTTATGCATAAACATTTTAATATTTTTTAATATTGGCCGATAAAAATGATGATCTTGTGTAAGAGCTTTTTTTTTTTTACTGTAGTTGAGTTACTTTTTTACGCTCCCAAATGTTTGTTACCACGATAGGAAATTGCAGTTGCGTAACATAATCGATATGGAAATTAGGAAAAAAAACCGTCACGTAACAGTTCTTTGACACTATCTATACAGATTTGATGTTTTCCCATAATACCTAGATATAATAAGTAATATAAAACGATAAAGCATTCGATACGCACATCACTAACCATGCTGCGGATATCATTGACATAATCCTATATGAATTTAGAAATTCTTTCTATCAAATATTGCTACTTGTTATCGATATTATAAAAATTGAATTTATTTAAATAATGGTTTTATCAAAAAATATTATTACCTTTAATTTATGGGCGCCACACAGAAAATACATAGTTAGACATGAAAAAAAAAATAATCGACTTAATTAAAATTTAAAATTATAATATTTAAGTAGATACTAAGGAAGAATTAATTCAATTGAAACTGTTAGCATATGTAAAGTCGTAAACATAATATAAAATGTAATAAATTAATAACACTTTCAAAAGTCGTTTTTCGTCTTTCTGTAAGCTTGCGAGTATATTAAATTGTCTTCCGTTTTAGATATTTTATTAATTTTGCATAAATAATATTTCTAGATGTATACATTTTGCTTGGCAGTCGGTATCAACGGTATTTTTTGTACATTTGTATTAAAGAGCAATTATTATCATTTTCCTATAAAAATTAATGCGTTATCATAATATTGTGGTACGAGTGTACTACATCTCCTTGATCGCGCCGATATCTCTTTTATAGTACTTATCTAGATAAAATAAATATGTTTTGAAATCGATAACACTGAATGTATAACTAATTGTACCCTCTATATATGAGAAGTGAATCATTGTATGGCGCCATTATTGCTATTGTATAAAATGTATGCCTATTATACATGTCTATAGGTATAAATGTATAATGCATTAATACATTTACATTACGAGATTTAAATAGCAGCTACAATCGCAGTAAAATAACTATTATTTTTATGCTATTAGACTAAACAACTAGGAATTTTTCTGATATTAACTTAATAATTATTATAACATAAAGTAACGTGTCGTAATTGTTATTGACAATAATATATTAGCAGACAATAGTTAAAATATAAATAAAAACATTTTTCATAGCGTGAAATTAATAACCAACATTTATTTTTCTTCCTTGTAATGGTACTTAAAAATAAAAATAATATTATTAATCGCAAAAAAACATAGGCAAAACCACAAAATTAACATAAAACATAACATATTATTTATCAATTTTGGTGCAATAAACGGTCGCCCCGTGTTTTCTTGTGATCTGCAAACATGACAACAGTAATGTTGTTTATTATGTCTAGTGTGATGTATTATTTTTAATTGTTGGTTATTAATTATTATAAAATAATAATATAATTATTTTATTTGCTTTTATTTTGAAAATGATTCAAAACGTTTTATCTTACGGTTAAGGTTTATACTATATTTTTAATACAATTTCAGCCATATTTTGTTGTTTATTCGGGTATTTTATGTCATAATTCATTTTTTTTTAATTATTTATTTTTGTCATTAAATTATTTAATTATTTTTTCACAGTAAAAAGTGATCAATTCAGCAGTAGCGCAAACCTTTATCAAGAACAAAACGTTACTGATTTGATTACGTCTAGCTACGGCGTGGGTCCCACTGACGACAATGGTAGACCGTTGTTCGGATTGAGAGCTCTCAGGAAAAACAACGCCAATCAATCGTCTGTAAGCGGTGAGTTCAATAATACACAAACCTCGTTGCATTATAATACCTACGCGTTTCTCAGATCAATGATCTATTTTTATTTCTACGTCATTGTTATTGAAGCTTGTTATTTCTTTATCAGAAAACGATTCCTCGCTGTCGTCTGCCCACTGCGAAACTGACTCGCGGGACACTCAGGTTTCTGATCAAAAACATAAGTCGTACGGTTTGAAAGCGTTGCAATCCCAGAACACGTATACGGTACAAGAGTCGTCAAGCACTGTGTATCAAACAACGTCTTCCGAGCAAAAAGGCGGAGTCGATCAGCTGATTACCGACCATAAGGGCAAACCACTGTTTGGGCTTAAAGCGTTACAGAGCATCGGCAAAAACGAAGAAGAACCAATTTACGACGACATGCCGGAACCACCGGTATCTCCGCAACTAAAGGATTTGGTGCTCAAGCATGAAAAACACGCAAGTAAGTTATTTATAACGGTATTATCTTCAAAACTTTATGTTAGGTATTCAATACAGACTACAAGTACGGTTGTAGGTAATATTATAATATATTAACTTCCGTAGTGTCATACATCAAAGTATTCGCAATTATTATGAATTTAAAGTTTTTTATCGCATTGTTCAAATCAAACAATCCATAGCGAAGGGTAAATTTTGAATGACAGATTTTGGGTGTTGTGTAGGTACCTACATATTATAAGTACATAATATTTTTACATAATTTTCTATATTTATATCATGAGATTTTAAAACCATCTCATTCTGTCATATTATTATTACATTTTGTTAATTTGAACTTTGAAGTATATCAACAAACACATCGAAAGTGATCGAATTGAAGGAAAATTATTATTATAATAAGATTATTATTGAAGGGGGGATAGCAAAGTGTAAAAAAAATATACTTACGTCTTATCGATTAAGATATAATTAGAAGGGAAATACATACATTTAAAAAAAAGAAAGAGATAATCTGTTTGCCTGAGCCTCCCTCGATTTAAACACTATACGTCTACAGTACATATTTTCATACTCTCTAAAATAAATATGTATTGGTATGTTAGATGAACAAATATTTTATTTTATTCTAATTTAATTTAATTAATTAATTTTTTTTTTTATTTTATTATATATTTTTAATATTTGTGATTACTAATCACAAAACTGATTAGTAACAATTTTATAAATTTCTGTATCATAAAAATCTTTGAAAAAATTATTCTTTTCATCACTTGTTAGTTACTAACTCATTTCTTAGGTTTTATTCAATGAACAATTAATATATTATTATATTAATTTTCAGAAGAGAGTTCCAAGTTGGAATCACAACCTAGACAAAAACCAAAAGCAAAGTTCAGAGATAGTTTTATACTCGATACTAAAGATGAGGGTTTGTATTCAACATTTGAAGAAAATGAATTTACTGACCCCAGTCAAATAACTTCGTTGCGTTCGATTATTAAAAAAACAGATGATCAAAACAATGGTAATTTAAGAAATTAAGTGTAATACGTTGGTTTTTGAATAATTTAACATTAAAATGTTTTAGAAACTATTGTTAAAAGTAAAAGTCAGTCGACAGTATTTCAATCAAAGAGTGTTATGCGATCCGATGGATCTGGAAATGTTTCAGTCACACAAGATTTCTTGAAAGGTTAGTATCTCCACATGACCATATCATACATTTTAAATTTATTTTTTTAATTGCGTAGTTTATTAAATACATTTTGTAATTAAACTATTATGAGAAATGGCGAATTTATATCATACATTATGTTATGTAACAGTGGCACGTGATTGAGTGTTAGGCTAGGTGAAAATAAAACAAAATAATTCAAGTTGGACTTCTTCCAAAACGTAATTAAAACACAAAAAAACTCGAAGCACTTTAAAAGCCGTTATTTGTGTATGGCAACAGCAAGTGCTAAGACTACTATATTACATTTAACTTAGTGTATCATATATTTTTAAATGAAACCTTCTTTGGACTGTGTCTTGAGTTTTGGCCTAGTTTTTAGTTTTTTAATATTTTCATACACATGGCCTATAGTATTTCTTTTTTTTATCATAGCTTTTATAATTTTTCGAATTTCACAAATACAATGGGAACATAAATTGATTTTATCAGGTACTTAATTTTAATTTAATTTTTAGGTATTAGGTAAGGTTTGAACAATTATTAGAAATATATGTATAATTAGAATATAATTCTGATTTATAACGTAAAATTACTATAGATACACGTATATTTACATGATATTTGACTTGTTATAGGTGAATTGTCTTCTGTGAATGACGAAGAACCATCAGGAAAACTTACTCGAGGGCATTATACTTATCAGAACCCAGATAATTCAGATGCCAAAAAAGGCATTGCTAAAGTCACAACAGTCACTACAGCTATCGGCAAAGATACTGGTCCTCAAATTACTGAGATCACTGAAGAGCTCAATGAGTCTGATCGCGTTGATGGAAACAAAGTGGTAAAAAGAAGTCGAACCAATGACAAATTTGAAAATATCCAAAAAAGGTTTAGCCAAGAAAGTTTTAAACAAGACAGCAGACGTTCATCAAAAGAATTAAATGGACATGAAAAAACTGAAGAATCACCACAGTCCACTCCAAGATCAAGTTTGGTGCGCGGAGATTCAATCAAGGCACTTCAACATAAATTTCAACAAGCCACTGGTAATTTATTATCTATTAGGTATAAGGTAACACAGTTACTGAAATGTTTTTTTAATTGTTATTTCTATGAGTTATTTTTAAAATTATTATCATACAATACAATATTTTATGTGGTTTTCACATTCTTATCAATCTTAAACCTCATGATTATTCTGTGGTTATTCAATTTATAGATACTGATGAATGTTATTTTTGCATAAATTAATGTTATAGTTTCTTGTTAATTTTGGTTATTGATCTTTTTTTTAAATGTAAACATTTTTGTTAATATAATTAATCTTTTATTAAACAATTAATAATTAATTATTAGATTTTCAAACGTAGGTAGATTATATTATAATTTATAACATTTTGAAAAATAATCTCTTTGTGAATTAAAAGTTATAATATTATGTTAAACTATATTTGCCCATTTTGTTATCAAAAGTTGTTATTACAATTATAGGTACTAAATAATAAACTTAAAAAAAGTAAAAATTAAACCTTTACCTATGACTTTAATAAAGACAAAGAAAAATGTATTAACGAATAATGTTTTTTTTTCTTGTGGTAAAATAATGCTATGTTTTAAGTATAAGATAAATATTATAGTGTAGTTATATCAGAATATACCATTTATTACTTAATTAACTATTTAATATTTCAGTTTCATCTAGTTTGAAACAGAACAGGACTACTAAATCTGATGTGTCTAGTAGTTCACGACAAGTTGAAGAAAAAACAACAACTACTAAATTAAATGCAGCTAAAAACAATGGAACTGCTACATCCTTCCTTGACAATAATTCAAGAGTGACTGGTGTACAAGATGTTTTAACCAGAATGCGAAATGCAGATTTAGGTAAATAATGGTTGATAAAAATATTTATATATAGTATTATTAATTTAAGTATTGATTACCTTAAAAATGAAATATTTATGCTAATTTGTAATTTATTTGTTTCAAATTTTATAGTTGTAGAAAGTGGTGATACCAATGAAGACACTGAAGCCCGTGCATTACTCAACAAGTTTTTAGGTGCATCGGTCATCCTTCATGGAATGGAACAAGGAAACAAATCTCCTTCTTCAATAACTACCACAAGTAGCGCTACACTTGTCAACCAAGTAGAAAAACAAAGATCACAGGTACAACAATAATATACATTGTTTAAAGTATAAATTATAATGCTAAATTTAAAATAAAATCTAATTAAAAATTATAAAAATCACAATATTTTTTTATATTATACTATTTGTTAGGTAGGTACTTGTTACTAAATTCATGAATTTTAGCATAAGTTATAAATACTAAATTATAATTTTCCACAAATCTTTTAATTTCATACATATATGATATAGGTACTATATATTGATTTATTTTAGTAAATTATAAACCGATTATACATTATTATTATTTCAACAACTATATACTATGTTAATACGAAACAGTAGTGGCACTAACTTATTTTATCAGTCGAACAAGAAAAAAATGTTGGATGCACTCATGCTTCCTATTATAATTCTGTATCAAATTTATCATTCTGAAAATTTATAACATAGGTATTAGTGTATTACAATAAAAATTACTTTTCATAGTTATATAAATACTGATTTAATATTTTAAAATTTAAATCAAGTTAACATGTTAAGTAAACTCCTATCATTAATAATACATAATAGTTAAACTTGCTACCTATGCATTCTTTCAATTGAAGTTATCCAAACATTTACTATTTTTTCAATACTCTTGAGAAAAATTAAATTCTGTTTACAACTTTCTTCAATATTAATATATATCTTATTTTCATAAGAGATCAGCCTTTGTTGTAATATTTTCAATCTAAGTCTTATTTTGATCTAGATTTTAACTTAATGAACCAAGTTAGATCTTAGAATCACATAAATAAATAGCAATGCAACTATTATACTTTTGAAAAGCTTATTTCAGCTGAAGCTGAAATTGTGCATAATGTTTTATAAGCACAATATAAATTTGAAAATATTAAATTTTTTAGTACTCACTAGTCAATCTCAATTGGTATCCACCACCTCATTTTAGCTGTGAGACAATGGTCTTACAAAAACTTTTTTGCTCTACCACTGATAATAACAGTGACAGAATAGCTAAAAATAGTAGTCAAGAAATTTAACATATTATCTGTTACTATACAGAGTACGAACTAATACTAAACATGGTAATAGATATCAGGCTAAAACTAAAACACAATGACTGGCGAGTCGACAATATTATCAGCTGCAAGTTAAAAATATTTTATATTATTATTATAAGAAATAACTAGAAGTTAAAACGCAAATAAATACATTGGGAAGTGGGAGATAAACATTTTTATTGTCATGAACGAAAAATAAAATGTATTTTTTTGAAAAGATTTGTTTACAACTAATTATTTTTATTATCTCGATTAGCTTTTACTTTTTAGTACATTTGCCATTGCAGTTTTAGCGTATAAAATATATTGTAATATAATAATAATGGTAAATAAATTTCATAAATTTAAAACAAAATTTATCTTGTTTCTCTGCATCTAATAAATATTAAAAATCTTTCTGGACAGTTAGTAGTTATTTTTATGTATTTAATACTATAAAAATTATTTTATGGTATTTATATGTGAGAAAACATTTAACGATTGTGTTGATAGTCATTACACAATCGTAGTACTTTACAAATGTTAAAAATAACTTCATTTTCCATATTTCGTCTTAATGTTGTTATAATTTGTTACTTAAAAATAATTATTTCATAGAGCTAAACTTTTCTATCTTTAAATTGAATTAGTTTATAAAAATGTTTAAATTATAAAAAAAATTGAGAAGGTTTTATTTAAATACATTTTTAATTAGTTTATAGATGACGAATAAATTACCATCATAATTTATCATTATTAGTAATTAAAAATATATATTACATGATTTATCTACTTCGTGAGAATTTGTGTTTATTTATGCTGCCATAATTTTATAAAACCTAGGTACACCTATCAGAAAATCTTTGTAGAACAATGTTACATTATATTATTATAATCTATTGAGAAATGATTATTATGATTTTACGAGTAATAAAATATATTTATAATAAAAATATATTTTCATTAAAATGTTTATTTATATCAATAAAAATGTAAAACAATGCATATGATTTTGCTTTGGTCAGTTTCTTAGTTTTACGTGGTTTAATGATTATTATTTTATTTTAGCCGTAACGTTTTGATATTTAAATATATCAAAACGATGATTAGGATAAACTTAGAACAAAACAAAACGTTTACTATACAATATCTATGTATATAAACGATGTAGTAAGGATAACTTAATCTATTATTTGACAACTGTTTGCTACTAAATTACGCCTCACACGAGTTTACATTATATAATAATGTACGTATTATACTATTATAAATTTATAAATATAGAGAATATTTTAATCGCTTTGTGTGTTTGTTTACGGCGTAATTGCGCCATGGCGTTTATTCGCCCCCCCCCCCCCACTGGGTCGCGACATTTTCGGGCATTTGTACATAATATTTTGCTCTAAACAATAAAGGCGCTTGTAAGGCAGTTCCCACCTGTCCGTTTCGTTCGCGATAAATTAGCACAGCGAAATATGATGGCGAAAAATCGGCGTCTTTATGTTCAGACCGCACATAATAATACAACGGTCAATAATAGTATTACTACTCAACTAACTGTTAATTTCCCTACCCGTTGGACAACGCATTTTGGCTTTGCGCGTTTCACGACGAAAATAATATTTGAAGGCAAATCCTATTTTGGTCAGCGCGGTGGTTCGCTCGACGCCGAATGCTCCGTTGGCCACGCAGTTCAGTTTAAACTTGGCTACACGCGCAACTATTTCTGTTTATGTCGAGTCGTCGAGTGTGTTCGTGTCGCCGACAAAAAAAATCGTTTTTATTTTTTCTCACTTAATCATATTTCTCTGGTTCGACTGTTATTAATATTTTCGCGGCGTTCAGTAGCTTTATACCGCCTACGTTAACGATAGTGCAGTTCGTCCGCAATCGATCGATTTCTATTGTTTTACGTTTTAGCTGGCGTAGGTCGTAATAATATTATATACTATATAGGCAAACGATATTGGGTACGACGTTCGGCGGATTAGTCTAATCGAGTATAATATAACATTGGTAATGAATAATAGTTAATAAGAGTAATGCAAAATATGATATATCTGATCATAAAAAAAAATTTGCGAATGTGTGTTATTGTACAATGTACAGGTAGGCGCTCGTTGGTTATGAGGTGGTTATTCCGAAGTCTCGCCAGAAACACGATCGTGGGAACGCGTTTTGTCCTACGGTCCGGTCTGTTCTCAGAATGTTTATATTTTCATTCCGAATTAAAAAGGTTTTCGTTTTTGTTGTGTTCGTATTTATTTCCAATAGAGGCAATAGGTAGTCGTAGATCAAACGCTTATGGAAAACCCAAAATCTTGGTTCCATGAATATTATTAGGCCAACGTTTGGCCGTGTCCCAGCAAATAAAACATGTTGCCAACTATTTTTACAAGTGAATTCATAAATTTGTATTTATGTGTATTGTACACGAGGGTTCTTATTTAGATTGACACCTGTTAACACAATATTGACCGGTTAAATAGAACGAAGCTCATTGTGTGTACATTACAATACCACATGAACATAATACTATTTACAATTCGTTTTTTTTTTTCAGAAATCTCCCGTGATTAAAAAGAACCTAAGCCAACAAGAACTCGATAATATTTGGGACGAAAAACAATTACAAATTTTGGTTAGTAACATTATTATCAGTATGACGGTATAGATAATTTACTCGTACGCTTACTTAACAAATGTTCAATTATTTAGTTGGAATCTTGCCCAGACTACGATCAAAGGAGAAAAATCAGAGCCAGGTTAAGGCAAATCATGGCAGAACATAAAGGTAACTTAACTACATTATTCAATTTATTTAATTACGATATTATCCTATATTATACGTATTATTATTAGTAGTTATTTAAATCACATGTACACAGTTATTTAATAATTATTTTATTTTATGAAGTATAGTATAATAGTATGACGTGTTATAATATTGTATTTACAAAAAAGAAAATTTTTATAAAAATATTTAACCAAAATGACTAATTTAAATTCGTTATACTATATACAATTTTTTTTTATCACTACAATGAAATATAATTTAACATTAACATATCCAAAAATGAGTAGAATAATATGAGGAAGAAAATAATGATTTTAGGACTTAAGGTTCTCAATATTTTATATTGTTTATTATTAGAGTTAAATTAGTATTTTATGTCTGCCAAAAAATAATTAAAACAATAATTGCTTAATATACATTTACTTATTTTATTGTGTACCGTATACGTTACAGATAAATATTAAGTATAATATCAGCATAAAAATAATAATAGTAAAATCGTTTGAATAAAATATATTAAAGTAGACATGTCACTGTAAATAGACGTATGTTATTAGGTAGCTACTATATTTATACCATCAACATTTTACGTAAACAAGTATGTCATCTAATTTAAACACATTGTCGTATCACATCGTCGTATACAAGTTATGTTAATATAAATGTATAATGTATACTATATGTGTGCGTGTATTTACTATATTCTATTATATATTCTTAATCGTCTACCATATTTTTTTTAAACGAATTCCACTGGAATTCTGAGATTAGATTCTGGCATCATTTCATGTGGTAACTTAAATTCGGCATATAGTTGATATTTTTATGTTGGCATTAGCTTGCTTAGGTGAATTTAAAACCAGGACATTTGAAATATTATATTTACATATATTATATTGTATTAATAACTATTTTGACGGTTGTTGAATTTTTAATTAGAGGATACCTAATCGTAAGTAGTAAATTAGTGAATACCTTGGTTTTTGTCGTGTTCATAACAAAGGGCGATGTGTATTATTCATGTTTAATGTAATTTCAGCGTGTACGGACATCGTCGCTCAAGCTGGCCTTACAGACAACAGCACGAGCAACGAAAAAAACGGTGAGTTATTGAAGCCTATGTGTAATTTAAATGTAAAACCTATCGCGACCACGGTCGATGACTCAGGAACGGAGTCGGGCGAGGAAGTGAACCAAAAGATATTGGTGCAAGTGCAAGGGGCTTTAGCCAACCTAGAGAGCGCGTTACCGGCCTTGGACCCACTCAGGCGTTCATCCGTCGTCGAATTGCTAACAAAATTGCAAACTAGCCTGAAGTTGTCGTCCGTCGATCAGACCGGAAAACCGACGCCACCGCCCCGGAAGTGCTGGAATCGTAAGACTGTGGTGGGACGGCAAGACCGGCACACGGTCGGCGTATCTTCCGAAGAACTGCAGGACGCCAGACGATGGTTGGAAGAGAACGGATATGGCGAAACGATGACGCCTGGGGCTTCGACACCCGCGACGACGGCGGAGTCAGCTCGAAACACGCCGCGGAGCTACGAAGTAGCTGCTCCCAAGACGTTCAGACCAGTCAAGTTCGTGCCGCCGCCACCGAAGCGCACCAATCACTTGGCTGAGGACTGTGTCATACCGGAACCGTCGAGACATGCACTGCAGACCTGCAACTCATTCTCGTATCCTCCGGCACAACAGGTGGTTGTCGAAGACTTAGACAGCAAGAGACGCAAGACTTCAACGATATCGATTCGCGATTCGTCCGAATCGTCCGCAGATGGGTCGTCGTCTCCGTCGTCTTCTTCCGGTGACGACGACGACAGATCCGTTTCGTCAGCTCAGCGGTTGTTGCAGATCGCGTCCAACGATCATTGTCGCAAGTTTCGGATGCAAGGAAAGCGCGTGAAACTGAAACGCGGCGCGGCCGGTGAACGGGGACGATCTTCCGGAGACGACGACGAATACCGGTCGGGACGCGTCCCGCAAATCAAGGAACCATTGCCGGCTACTACTTCTGGCGGCAGCGGAGTGCCTTTGTTCGAACCTAAGACGGCCAACGACAAGAAATACTTGGCCCTGTTGCGGCAACAGGCCGAGGCAGACGAGAAAGCGGCAACGACTTCGGCTTATAACCCGTTGCAGGGGAAATTACAGGGCAACTGGGGCAACCGTTTTGGTCGGATAAAGACGACGTTCGAAAGGAGGATCGGTGGTGGCGGCGGCGGGGGTGCGATGACCACAGCATCGGCGGCCGTGTCGCCCAACAGGAACGTAGCAAAAACTTTTTGGCACGACATTTGCAAATGTCCGTCGGACGACAGCATCGCTTATTACCGATCGAAGAAGTTCACGTCGTTCAAGCCCGACACGTCCACTACCACCGCCGCCACCGATCAGTGGTCGGGAGGTAACCGCGGTTTTTCGCACGGTGCCCGGTCCGCGTTCAAGCCGGTTCAACAGCAACAACCAAAGCAGTTCGTTGCGCCTCTTAAGCCGATGCCGAAATCGGGGACTAAGTTGTTGGAGCCGCCGCCCCGAACGGTCGCTTACCCGAAACATCTGCCTTTGTACAACAGTTCGGTGACCACGGCTCACAGGCCGTTCGTATATTCGGACGCGTCTGACGAGGCGGTGAGTCCTACCGCTCCCCCACATTACGAATGTGTCCCACAACCGGCCACCGTGGTCAGTCGGGTCATGGGCAGCCCTCAGACCGCCACTATAGTCAAGAGCAAGCATAGGTCGGGCAGTGACGGATCGTCGTCGTCGTCGCTAAGAACGATTCCGGCGCCGGTCCGTCAACCGTTACCGTCGTCGTCGTCGGTAAAAGCGATTTCGGCGCAACACAACAGCAATCTGCTGCAGTCTTCTACTTCTTCTCCGGGTACCGCACCTAAACCGCCGACCAGGAACCCGCGGGTGGTGACCCAGCAGCGGTCGCCCAACACCTCGCCGGTGCGCATGCCGTCGGTCCTGCAAAAGTCCGAGTCCTGGCACCAGATGATCGTGGGCCAGAGCAGGGCGGCCGCCCGGTCGCCGATCTCGCACGTGCCTGCGGCCACATCGCTCAGGCACGCGTCCGCCCCGTACGAGGGTTACATGCACTGCAAACGGGAAATCGAACAGAAGCAAAACATCGTCCGACAACACTTGCACGCCCCCACCGAGTCCGCGTCCGCTGCCTGCAGACGCGCGTCACCGAAACTTGTGAAACTTAACGACGACATTGACAAAGTGGACGACACGTTCGAAAGCCTCTTCAAAGAGGCCACCAGACCGTCCAAATAGCCTCGGCCCGTCGTTCCTGTCGCGATCGTCTTAGCCGTCACCAGTCTGCCCACCCCAACCTAACCTCCCCACACCGACAAACAACTCTCTCGAGGCCGTATATGTTATTATTATACGATGTGTATTTTTGAATTTTAGTTCTTATTTTTGTTTTCGTGATATATTTTGCATTTCGTTTTTATTCTCTTATTCTATGTAGGTACCTAATATTGTATACGATAATAATTATTACACTATTTTATACGGCATGACGCGTGCACTATATAATAATATTATGTTTGCGCATTATTTTATTTTTTCTAGTCACAACAATAATACCACGTTATTATACGTTATATGTATTTAATATTCTAAACTATGTTTCCTAGTCGCGTAAATCGTTTTTAACATTTATTTCTTTAATAATATATATTATACACACACATTTGTACTGCATTTTGAGGATATCCGAGGAGCGAGTGGATAACATTAAATCGAAGAGTGTCTATTCATCTGTAGCTATTCTTCGTGTCTATGTGCGCACTGCGTTGAACACCAATAAGTACGTTCTTGTGGTTGTGTAGTCGTTTTCCGCGTGTGTGTGTTTTTCAAACAGTAAAACAATAATCAAAAAAATAAAATAAATATATATTCGCATGTCACCCCCGTAACACGACGTACAATAGTAGTATATTATAGTGATTGCTCTTTAACAAAAATAATATTATGCTCTCGTAAAAATCGTTTGATATCATATAATTGTGCATACCATCGTAACCTATGTGTTGAATCCGCTCGCTCGATTTGTCCCCCGTAGTGTGTATATTACGACCGATTGCAGTTTAACGATGCGACTACAGCTTTTTACTAGCACTACTGTCGCATGTTTTTTCTTGTTTTTAAAATATGTTTTATGTTGAAACGAAATTTGAGCTTTTACTGTGTATACTAATAGTTTTTATAATATTTTAAACTCGCCCGAACAATTTTGTTTGATGATTAATTTTTTTTATTGTTATTGTGTTGTTATTTTTATATTTTAATAATATTTGAGATGACTCATAATGTATGTATAATATATTAATATATAAACGTGTATACGTACACTTCGCAGCATTGTCCTATGTATATATATATTGTTTATAGCATTTGTGTGCGATGTTAAAATTTACTCGATTACTTTACTACAACTTTTCGTTTATATTTGTTCCAGAAGTTACCGAGTCGAATTCGACGAGTGTGTCCAGCAAAACCGAAACTGGATCGTATGTAAAAACTGAAGGTAGGATGACAATCAGTTTTAATTAATTATTTGAGCGTTAGTATTTATAGTACTTTTGGTTTTTAGTGCATACTAGGACAACAACTTCTAGTAACCGTCTGACTAAAGGTAAATTGTTTTATTTTTATTGTTATTGTTATTTTATGCATTCCATTGAAACGTGTAACTAATAATTTAAAATTACTATGTGTTTACAGCAAATAGCGTTAGTTCTTCACCGTTTGCCAAGTTCCAGCAACTCGAACGCCAGAACTCGGCTCCAAAGTAAGTAATTTGAATTTAAACCGCAGATTAAAAAAAAAAAATTAAATTAAGATTAATTGTATAAAAACTCTTCAAAACCCATCTATTGGTTTATTATTATTTCAAATACTAACATTAAACTAAACGTAACTTGATAATTAAAATTATACACTCAGAAAGACTGATATAAATATCGATATACTTTCTAGCTTTTTAATAATAATATTACATGTTCTTGATTACTTTATTTAACTCTTAATTTGGTTCTGGTTGTTGGGCAAAAATTTTAATTTTATATGGGAAATTGGTGTAACTTATATTAAGATCAAAATCTTATAATATTGTTTTTATATATAAAAATGAAATTATAAAATTATTACTAAGTATGAGTTATAACTAAAATGTTAATTAAAAGTCATACTTAAAGGGTATGCAATAATATTTTAATATTCGATAATTGATTGTACGGGTTCTTATATACCATACCTAAAATACATACATAAAAATGTAGGTAACGTGTTTGATTGTATACGTACATTTCACATAATATTATCGGGAAACAATAGTAATTTTTACTTGGATTAAATAAAAAAAAATAAAAAGTGATAGTTTTAAAATATATTAATTGTAGATAGTTAATTTTTGTCATAAAAATAAAACATAATATTATTTATAGAATATATAAATTATTGTATGTTAACTTCGGCATGTCATGCTTGAATAAATTTTCTACAGTAACATATAATATAATGGTAACATTCGGGGCGTTTTGCTTATAGCTCACAAACGCGTCCTTGCTATAAATTCACCGATCCCGCCCTGGCGCGGAGCGCTTCGTCAATCAAAGATCGCCTACTCAACTGGGTGAAAGCTCAGACGAAGGAATATAAGGTATACATTTTTGTTGTTTTCGTTTTATCAGATTAGGCTACATACGCCTTCACTATATATACTATATTACTATGTGTATAATACACTTCCTATACATTATAATATAGTATAAAACATATGACGTCACGACAGTGTATATTTTGTATATGTACACAACCTACGCATAATATAATATGAAAGATCTGTTTTTTCTAACAGAAAATAATAAATAGTACAGCTGTAGTAATTATTAGTGTATTATATATATATATATATAATATTGCATAATATCCTAAACCTAACAACGCATATGGCTTATTTATTATCAATTAATATGTTGGATAAATGATAAATATTATGCATTTTGTTATTTCATTGATCAACGGTGCATGTAAAAAATTAATCGTTTTTTATTATATTCAATTATGAAATTAATTGTTTACTTTTTTTTTACTTATTTTATTAACCGCGCTGTTTGGGATGTCATACGATTTAACAAAATAAAAAGTACTTATATCCCGTTTTCTAACCAATATTGCAATTATATGCGTCGGGTCTTACGCGATTGTATATTAATGTATTATTTTGTATTGCATGACGTATAGAACCTCCAAGTAACTAATTTCTCGACGTGTTGGAGTGATGGTCTGGCGTTCTGCGCCCTCATCCATCATTTTTACCCGGAAGCATTCGACTACGATAAACTAACACCCGAAAAACGAAGAGAAAACTTCGAAATTGCATTCAAAGTAGCTGAGTAAGTCACATTATTATTATTATTATTATTTTTTTTTTTTTTTTGATATAAAAACATAATAGTAAACAGCTAGCGTTATGTGCACTTTATAATTTTGTTTTTGTGTAACGTTTGATATTACTTTTGCAATAATACATTTTATTTTCTGTAAACGTTAATTGAAAATAACATCTTCCATAAATTTTGATTACCTAGTTCTATATCGTATAATAAATACCTATATGTCGGCTCGAGCCTCGAATGATTAAGTTTCACTTTGGCAACTTTCCGTTGCACAAGACATCGAATATGCACGTGTCACATTATAATATATTCATATCGTTTGCCGGACAGTATTTTTAGACATTTTTTGCTCCTCAGGGACGAAGCAGGTATCGCGCCGCTACTGGACGTCGAAGACATGGTCGTCATGCGGAAACCCGACTGGAAATGCGTGTTCACATATGTACAGACGTTCTACCGACGGTTCCACAACGACCCCCGATCCGTCAAACCTACGTACTTCGAATGACGACAATGCGTGTCTTGTTTTTGTCGTGCAGCTACGTTCTCGAATGCAGTTCGCTAAAAAAAAAAAAATATTACTATTTTATTGTTTTTACACGAATTTTGTTAAAAAAAAAAAAAATTATTTTAAATCGTCTCGTACCCCTTTGTATTTTGTTGATTCGTCTCTATTCGATTTATCAACGGATATAGGAACGATTCGTACCTATATAATATTTATGTATGTTACATGTTAAATTTTTATTTTATTTTCTGTAAGTACGTTGTTATTGTACTTATCGATCTAAAAGTGAGTTTGATTTTCGGCTCTACTCACGTATTTTAACTATTTTTAGATTACTAACTACTTATAGTGCCTATGTATTGTTTTTACTCTTACCCTCGACCTTTACCTACTAATTATACAATAATTACTTCCGCCAACAGTATAAAATGTTTCCACGTTTGCTCCGGTTAAACGCTAAAAATGATGAATGAGGCCTGTAGATGATATTATATTATTTTATCATAGTTTATATAATTATTAAGTTATTATTATCATAGACATTAATATATAATATAATATTTATGTGTAATGTGTATATATAGTGTATACATTATATACTCGAGTGTCGTTACAACAACAATATTATAATCTAATATAATTATTATTTTTAAATTGTAATCACGTCGTCCCCTACCCCCTCCTCTTTAAATCATTTGCCGACCACAAGTCATGATAGTCGTGGTTTTGATTTTCGCTTTTCCCCTGTTACCGTGGAGTTATTTTTACATTTTTTCATAGCCCCTTTCAAACAATTCGATATGTTTTTAAATGTCTGATTTCGTTGTCGTCGATCAAAATACGTCATTGCCGCGCAACAATACCGAAAGATAATATTATTATGATAATATTTAGTATTGTTTTAGTTCAAACGACCATCGTGTATGTATATTTGTATACATATTTATATACATGAAATAAATATTATTGTATATTACATTAAGTGAATCGATTAACAAGACTAATCTCGATGATAATATTATATTATATACGCAGAACAACACATATTATTATACCTAATTTCCTATATTAAACATTTTTAACTATATCTTATTATTATATTATATTATTTTTTGTATATACAATAAACGTTTGCATATTTTATTTATTATTTTCAAATGACCTATATAATTATTAAACTAATATTATATAATATAAAATATAATAATATTATCTGTTTAACAACTTTTTACGCGCCTTTACGTTTACCTTTAAGTAAATATATTTTTTACTTTATATTTTCTATATTTCATCGTATTGTGTGTATATGATGCAATATATTATATATTTATATATTACCATAATACGGTATGAGGTATAATATGATGCCTAATTAAATATACACAACTATATTATTATTTTTTTGTTATACTGTATTTTTTCTACAAAAATTGTATTATCACCTATTTATCCTGTTTATTATTATTTTTGTTTATAACTCGTCAATGAATAATAATATTAAATAATAAACTATCTACAAATTTTTAATTTATTGCGAAATTCCGGTAATTATTAAAAAATAAAAAGAACAGTTATCATTTCCTGTAGACAATTATAACGCTAAATTTTCATTAATGCCTTAATATCCTTAGGGATGTATTATATTATAAAAAACGAAAATAATGAAAGATTACATACATTTTTTAATTTGAATGGTATATGTTTATCTAATAATAACAAATCGTTTATAGTATTGAATATTGATTATAAAATAGATTTACATTGATTGTTAGCTATTGTGTTTTATTAAATGTACTATTTAAGACTTGATTGAGATTAAAGGTCTATAGTTAATGCCTTCCAGTAAAATAAAATAGACGACATTGCGTGATTTGTGACAGCGGTCCATACAAGTTACTGCATAGTATAATAACAGGACGACCGTTTAACGTTTTTATCATTATTTGTTTTTTGACCGTTGGCACAATTATGGAAATATGAGCTGTAGACTCAAAGCAGAGATATAAATACCATTTCTCGAGAATACGCCCATGGACAAGCGCTTTGAGTTTTGAATAGTTGTAAAATGATAAAAGCTAATGGCGTGTTAGGTAAAATGTAAAGTACCCCACGCACACTTGAAGTTTTCGATTATTATAAAACGTCCGATTTACAAGTATCACAACTTAATATAACGTCATCACCTAGTCGCGGATTGCTTTATAAAGAGCGTAATACTCGCACAATGTGTTGATTTTAACTTACCAACGTTAAAACACGGCAAATCTTCGTTCAGCGGAATTCTTTTTATGCCGTTATAGTTCTAATATCATAGATTAAATTTACCTATAATAAGACTTAAAGATAACAATATTTTCCCTGGCATCATGTAGGGTTTTTATTGATATTTTTATTTTGAAGTAAGTAAGCGTTACCTATCTCCTCCCATCACTGTACCTTCTTTTAGGCGTATTATAAGTACATTTTGACGCCCGAAAAAATAATAATAATAATAAAAAGTTACGCCAATGATTGCGATATTACTTGGTTTTGTATCATATAATATATTGTGTCGTATAATTTATTCTGCAGTGTTCTCCTAGATAGTTTTAAGTTTTAACTACTAAATATTGAACCGATTTTCCAGTGATGTATTGTTAAAATAAACCGTGGGTATACGCCTTATTCGCGTAGATATACATATATATTATAATAGAGAGATCCAGGTAGGGTCCAAAAAAATTTTGCTCAACAATAAATTATTTTATTGATAAATATTTCAATTTTCAATATTACAAAAATATTTTACATTTTAAATAAAAAAATTTAAATGTACCAAATCTTTTTATACACATTGGAATCATATAATTGTATACCACAAAAAAACTATTGTACAATCGACTAACGAGATATCGTAGTTGCTAGGTTATTGGCGTATTATATTTATCTACAACCGTGATTTATGATACTTGATATATTATTTTAAATTTTTATAAAGATATATACGGTAAATACGGCCGTATATCCGCGTATCATTAATTTGTCATGAACTACACGCCGTGGATACAATATTAGCGTATTGGATATACGCCGTAATATACCTCCGTTTACCAACAATACACCACTGCGATTTTCGCTGTCACTTCTTTTGAATCTCTCTTACAATATGTGGTCTTTTAAAATATTTCATCGATATTATAAGTCGTTAATTTTGTAACAATTGATTTATATACTCAAAAATACGAAAAAAAACAATATTTTTTTTTAGTTTTAATTTTTCAGTTTATTTAACATTTTTAACAAATCCAAAAATAATAATAATAAAAAAAAAATGAAAAAAAATATCGTATCAATGTGAGAAGTTAGATGAGAAAAAACAGATAAACAAGTAATATAAACAAAAAAGAACATCGGCAGGACGACACAATAAACTAGGTTGAGGAGATACGAGATGGCGAATGGGTGCAATAGGTGGAAAACAGGCCATTGGTCACCTTCACAACGTCCTCGCGACCGGTCCCACGGGCAGACGAATTTCACGGACGCGTTTTACTCGGGTGCGCAACGCGACGACCACGAGACGGCAGATGAGGTCCGGACAGCTTCGGTGACGTGAGCGACGACTGACGAGCGAACGGCTATAGTACGCGATGTCATGCACGCGTCAGATGGCCGTGCAGACAATGACGGCTTTTAGTCTGACGGCGGCGGAAACGGAAACGGCATGGGACAAACGAGAATCTAAGCCTGCGGAATAGGCGGCTATCGGAAACGTTACACGGCCGGTCGCGGATCGCCTCGGGACGAAATAGAGTCATCGACCAGATTTACTCTCCAAAGTCCGAGGGTTTTGTCCCTGGCGTCCCGCAGTCGACCGGGATCATCGCATCCCGTAGTAGCCGGAGTCGCGCGCCTTCGTCGAACCCTGTGAAACGTTGAATTCTCACGTCCGTGTTCCTGTAAGCTCAAATGAAAATTGTCACTTACCCCGCGCCAAAATCTCCGCCGCCGCCTTAGAGAGTCGTCGTCAGCACCGTCATCGGGGGCGATCGGGTACCGCTAGCTAGTTGTCGTTATCGTCCGTCGTCGCTCAGCAACACCAAAACAGTCGGACGTCCGCCGAACCGTTACGATGGTCGACCGCGTCAGCGACCAAACACGCGTCGCCCCCAAATCCCGTCGCGCCGTGAGTGGCCTCAGAGAACACGCTCCAGTGACTTACCGCCGGGCACTGTGCGTGCTCTGTCTAGTCGCAGTCGTCCTATCCTATGTCTTCGGCAAAGGGAAGTAGGGGTAGCTCCTGCGAACGCCTTCTCAATGCACACAGCAACAGCATAAGCACGTCGCCATGCAGTGGCAAATCGCCCTCTGCGTTTCTGTATGGCTTCTTCTTGTATTCTGTTGCTATACGTATGTGGATCTCTGCCAAATGAAATTCCGCGCATCTCTCCTTTGCCGGGTCGTCGCCATCCACGATTGCTCCGTCACCTACGATGGCATCGACAGTTCCATCGACGGTGGAATTGACTGTAGTATTTATAGTGCCATAGACGACGGTATGGACAGTGGCATCGATTATGGCATCAACGGTGGCGCTGACGGTGGTATCGATGATGGCATCGACATTGGCATGAAAGCGCCACATATTATAGACATAACTCTATTCACGTGTTTCGAAAAGTCGGCGCACTCGACTGGATGACGACGACAATAACGATCGCAAGAGGTTCAGCAACGACGCTGGACACCGACCACGTGGATTGTGGCGGACAGTAAAAAATGCATTTGCCGGACGCTGTGAAAATACGTGAACGACCGGATACAAAACAACGCCGAACAAAATAATAATTTAGGTACCTACCCGTCGTTTGGCGGTAAAACCGACTACGCTTACGTTTTAAATACGATCCGCACGGCTAACAAAACCGAATGGCGACACTGACAAAAAAAAAAAAAAAACTGCGGAACGACGGTCACGTCGCACCACTCGCCGACGTCGATAGCAGCGAAAACGGTAATGCGTAATGACTAATGATGTAAATATTGTAAATACTAAAGTGCGGCGGTGTCCGAAAAAGCCGGTTCGCGACGGCGAACACGCACGATAACGGTGCGCAACGCGGATGGTGGAGGGTACGAAGTACGAATAGCTATCTTATTGACGTGCGGTATTGTCCATGTTTTCGAACTTCGAATGGGTCGTTTTTGACGTTCGCCATCGCGTTGAGATTGTTTCGATACTAAAAATATAATGTCACAGTATTGCAGACAGCGACGTTCGTTCTTCCGCCGACTCGTGCAATTTACGAGTGTATACAACGCGCACAAGCCATGAGTTTCTCTGCATCAAGCCCGTCAACTATCCATGCACTACGAATTTCAATTGTCGGCGCTTTTATTCGAAGTTATATTACTGCGCGTTCGACCTCCGTCGTGATATGATAAAATATTATGTTTCGCGTTTATAGATTTCGTTCGTCTGTTTTTATCGAACACAAATTTATACAAAACCGTCAGTCCGCGGGCACTCTCAGCGGATAGAATTTGTTTCGCCGTATAATATGTGCGCCACTTGTGTGTGTCGGTTTGAATTTTTTCGTCCATGGACTTCAGGTCGACCGTCTTCGATGGCCCAAGAAAATATGACAATAATGTGGATTTAAAACGAACGTATACGTGGAGTATACGAGTATACGCTCAAAATAGCAATAGCGGGAATTAAATAGTTAAAAAGTTAAAAGATAATTTAAAAAGTTATTTATTTTTTTAAACTTTTTGACTTAACTAGTTAGTTTATTTTCTAATCAACTTATGAACTTAAAGAGATTAATTGACATTTGACAGTTGAAATAATTTAGCTTTTTGCAGTTGATATTATAATTTTTTTTTAGTAAAATTATAAACTATAAATTGTATTGTTTTTTTATGTTATATAATCTTTAATTTATAAAATATATAAAAAATAATAATATTTGTTAAATTATTTATTTGAAATGTGTATAGTTTAAACTAATAAATAATATATCATGTAACGTAAAAGGGTATTTAGTATTTATACTGTACAATGTACATTAGGATAAAAGTTCAATAAAATTATTTTTATAATTTAGTTAATTAGAAAGGCATAAAGACATAAAGACATACTTAATCATTCTTTATGTGATTTACATACTAATTTTAAAAAATGGATTAACTTTTATTTAACTGAACTAAGTTAACATTTTTTTTCTATATTAAATTTTAACTTATTGATCTTGTGTTCTTTTAACTTAACTTGAGTTAATTATTTTCATTAACTTGACGCCCACGGCTTACCTTTACGAAATACTATAATATGAACACTAAAAAAATCAATTTTGCGAACGAGTGTATAGAAAAAATTGTCTCCTAAGGTACCTACGCGAGTTTGTAAGTCAGAAAAATGGCATTCCATTTCATGTCAGTACTCATTTCTCTTTATCATTTTTTAGTCATTGTTTGTGTAGGTATGTACATCATAAAAATATTAATGCTTATAAATTGTTGCCTCAGAAATAATCGTAGATTTTTTTAAACGCTTATAACATTATTATGGTCATCGGTAATTTTATAACATAATTTAAAATAATATTATTTATTTACATTGTGACCAATGCAAAAATCATTTAGTTATTCGTCTGACAACGTTTAACGGCAATTTTTCTCAACTCTACAAACAACACAGTAAACGATTAATTTTGCAGTATTCAACTTTTTGATGTGAAACATCTTATGGCGCGGTACAGTAGTGAGACCGACTATGACGTGGCGACGCCCCACTCGTAGCTCGTCGGCTCAATTTTCCGAAGCTCGCCGATTTCCTCTCTATGTGCCCAGTATCGGATTATCTATGTTTATACGATTTATAAACGTATAATATGTACACCTATATTTTTATAATAACTTTATTGTATATAAGTATATTACGTTGATTATATTGTTCCGTGTATGTATATTGAATATTATGTTGTTTTAAAATAAACAAAAAAATATTACAAATATAATGGAACGAGACAGTGCACCGCCGCCAGAAAAAAGAATTAAATTTCAAGTTAACCATCACATGCAAGTCGGAGTGAAATGTCTCCGTCGTGTGCTTTTGATGTATATCCCTATTCACAATTTACTGATTCAAGCCAAAGGTTAGTTTGTTTATTTTAATAAGACTGATCTCTGTATAACTTCGTCATTATATTACAAGATAGTGAAGAAGTAAAATATTAATTAGATTAATAGATATTAGTTATAAATTATGTTTATGACTTAATGTGATTAGTCAACGAAATGTGATAAGTGGTATTCGACGATGTGCATGTGCGTGTTGAAAAAATACTTTTGTTTAATAATTATATATCGATATATTAAATATATTATATTATATATGATATAAATATATTGTAATATATTATTTATATATACTGTTTTATATCATAACAGTGCTCTTAGTAAAAAAGGTCGGCAACAACGATATAAGGAACAGCGCCGTGAAGAACTAAAACAACTTGAAGCACAAAGACGGAAACGTAAACAAAATAATCTTATGATATTAATTTAGAAATTATTTCATAATCATCTTATTCACCATTTATTTTCAACATTATTACAAAAAAAAAATGTTTGATGTTTCACATCTGCCAGGCGTCCCGCGACGGCTCAGGTTATTTTTTCACTATATATATATAGGTACATATATTTTTATACGACTCGAAACGCTAAACGGCTTATGACGCGATAAGAAAAAGGGTACGATCGCTCAACACAGCAAGACTAATTCAACAAAATGAACGGTTTAACGTGACCGTATGTACTTGTGCGTTACACAAGAGACGAATTGAGTCTGCGGCGGCAAAGTGACGACAGACTGTTGACAAGTAAGTGTAGCACGGGCAGTGGCGTATTTTCAATTTTTTTGTGGGGGGGGGGGGTCTTAATATTAAATATAAGTTTATAACATTATAATAAAATACATACGAGTTATGATTTAATAATGATATTATTTATATTATATTATATTGCACTATTATTATGAAAATAAACGTCAATTAATAGTTAAACCCAAGTTATTTTTAAAAATATTGTAATACAAACATTAAAAACACATAATATAAATTAATATTATTTTTTTCTGGGGGTGGTCGAGACTCGGGACCCCCCCCCCCTAAATACGCCATTGAGCACGGGGAACTGATTCTTCGTCTCTCCGGTTATACCGATATCGCCGTCAATATGCACCGTATCGTAGTCGTTGACCTTATAGTAGGCGAAGTAGGGCAAAATGAGCTTAGTTAATCTTTACGGGCTTTTTATACTGTGAGTGTTCATGCTAACCTTAATGGAATGTTTAATCGCAGTCGCCTTATTATATACCAATTGATCGACGCCTTAAATGAAGTGTAGATTGGTAGCTATACGAAAATGAATTGCACCTACTGCTGTACAAAATTTAAAATGAACAAAAAAAAACTGTCAAAAAGAAGGTATTTATTAGCAAACAAATGTTGCAATATTCAAGTGTTGAAATCAGTAGAGTATCGTTTATATTACGGGCTGTTACAAAAAAAATTTTGCTTGAGCCCTGAAAAAACAGTGAAGGGCTAACTCACGTGATTTTTATTAAAAAAATTCTGCACGCAATTAGTATCATGACAACGAAACTCGTGTCCGCAATTGTTATGTTATATCCGCGTCTAGCATGTCCGGCATGTGTCAAACCGCTCCTCAAATCATAAGAGCCTCGTGACTTAACACAAAAAGACACTATTCGTTTGCAAACGAGTAACTGTCGTTGTACCGCTAAATATATCGGTTTTCAAACCATGGTTATTTAAAACAGCGAACATATTTTGCTGTACAACGGCAGCTACTCATTTGCAAATAAAACTTGTATTTTTTTTTTCTCGCAATACTAGTAAAATAAAGACTCGGATACACTAAAATAAACGTCGCTAACAAAATAAATGGTATGAAGCTGTAAATCGAAATGTCGTCGTCGATGTCTTCGCCTGCGGTTTCGTCGTAAACACTGCAATTTTAACGAAAAATAAATCGATATTAACAATCATAATTATACTTTGTCTATCGTCCTAATTATTATATTTTTATTATGACTTTTATAGTGTTCATTTTTTGTCCCCTACTTAATAATTTTATTTTTTACGGTCACTTCAATGCCAAATCATTTTAAAACGTTCCGGACATATTACAATAAGGAAGAAATTGACTAAAACTTATTAATGTATGCCCACTTATAGTTTATACGAGTTCCGGTTTTGTACTCAGCTGCAGAAATATTACAAGAATTAGTAACACAACCTTATAAGATTTGTGCCGTCATTGTAAATTATTTTGTTTTTATAAAATTACGAAGACTCAAAGATCTTTCAGTTTTTGATGGGCAATCTATTTTTACTAAATACAGTCGACTCTTTATAATCCAATCCTTCAATAATTAGAAACTTTCGGTAATTCGAAGTAAATATTCGTGCTCTTGAAAATCTCGTGATAATTCAAATAAAAAACCATTAATTTAAGTACACTCGATAATTCGAAATTAAATTTTGGGAAAACTGAACACTAACACGAGACAATCTAAGTTTCATCCGTTCAACGTTCTGTAATTCGAAGTTTATTCATCAAATGTATTTCTTATAATCTTTTCTCTGGTAATTTTCTATACAATCGTGCAGCAATTTAGCTATAGAATTATTATCGTAAAAACTTTATCGCTAGCATATTTTTATTTCTTAATCGTCTGTTAATAATAATAATAATTTAATTTGCACAGTTTAATTCTATTCATAGTTTAACTTACATTTTAAAAACAATTAATAAATGCAATACCTCCTAATTTTGCTGAAATATTTAAAAAATTAAGTATGAAAAAAAAAAAATAATTTTTTAACTCTTAGTAATTCGAAATTTTTCTTAAGTCACACTGCAACTTCGAACTATCGATACTCGACTGTATAGGTACGTTTTGATTGCATTACAATACGATCAAGCCGTGGCGGCCGTCTCGATTAAACGATGTTTACCTAACGAACATTGATTCTATCTTTTCAACGAGATGACGTGTTCTCGACAACATAGTTGTTCAGACATTGTACGAAATATTTATTGGATTCGGGAGGCCAACCCCGCCGAGGACCCGTCTCCAAATTTCCTACCCCCCCCTCCACAGCCGGCGCACGACTGTGTACACACAATTTGCTTACGGACCGTTAATGTACAGTATTGCAGGTATGTTATATGGTAGCAAACTCACTAATCGTATGCCAAAACGCTTGCCGTAACGGTGTCGTCCATCACCGTCGACGGTGTGCTATAAGACGACGGTGTGCTGTAAGGCGACGGTGTGCTGTAAGGCGACGGTGTGCTGTACGGCGACGGCGTGCTGTACGGCGTCCGCTGTGGGTGTTCGGGGCAGCCGTCGCGTTCAGTGTCCGTGGTCGCGGTCGTGTGGCCGTAGTGGTGATGACCGGCCCAGTCGTTGGTGGCGGCCGACGGATGGGGCTCGGCGGCTGCGGTCGTGCGTTCGTAGTAGTGATGACCGGGCCAGGCGTTGGCTGTGGCCGACGGATAGGGCTCGGTGACCGTGGCCTGGTGGCCGCAGTGACAGCGGTGTTGCGACAGTCTATGCTGTCGGACCGGCAGTTCGGGCGGGACCTCTGACGGTCCGTCGGTGGCCATCAGAACGGGAGCGGCGACGGCGGTGCGCGGCCACGCGAACAACGCCAAACACACGACGACCATCGCGCGTCGCACAACCGCTTTGTCGCGGTCAATAGGCATGCCGTCGTGCGTCTGCGCGAGGAACGAGCGCGACTCTTGTCAAACGACTTCAACAATTTTATTATACAACTGTGATCGTGAAAAATATGACACGAATGCAATTATATTTTATTTATCACGATATGATTTTGTGCGGAACAACAACGGTTTAACGATATATGTCGGATATGCACATCGGTCGGTGCTGTTGATTTTATAAACTGTGTTATGCGCGACCTGAGCATCGCCTTGGCGACCGGACGACACGAGATTTTGTAGCTATTATAGTTATACGTACGAATTAATATTACACTACGTTTTTTATTTATTTATTTTTTTTTTCATGTGAAACATCTTACGGCGCGGTACAGTAGTGAGACCGACTGTGGCGTGGCGACGCTCCACTCATAGCTCGTCGGCTCAATTCTCCGAAGCTCGGCGATTTCCTCTCCATGCGCGCTGCAGTATCGGCTTATCTATTTTTATACGATCTATAAACGTATAATATGTACAGCTATATTGTTGCGTTTAAATAAATTGATTGTATATTACGTTGTTTTGAACGGACCGTTGTAATAACGATATAATATATTTTCTAATGAAATATGAGTGACAGTGACTGTGAAAATATTACAAATATAATGGAACGAGACAGTGTAATAATTAGTTATAGTTTTTATTATAATTTAATATTTTATCATATTATCATTCATATCTCAATCCAGGAGAACCTACCACCAGATACGGGACAACAATAGATGCTGTATTTATTAGATATCTTGATAATGTTATGTCCAATACTTTTGTAACATACTTCAGCTACCATCGACCAATTGTCACAGTAATACCGTCGTCAGAGGCGACATCGAATGTCACTATTACCGAAATCACTGATTAAACGAATTAAGTAGTCACGATTTGAAATAAATTCGTAAATTTTTGTATTTAATGAAAATAAATGTTTATTAAATAAACAGTCATCATTATTTGAAAAAAAAAAAATCGTAATATTTTATTTTATCATTATGACATATTTAGTTCCTATCGCAATCTGTTCTTTTCTGCATATTACTATTACAAAATAATGTCGATGTTTCACATCTGCCAGGCGTCCCGTGACAGCTCAGGTTATTTATATTTATACGTTTTAGAAACTCACTGCCAGCGATCAAGTCAGCCGTGTACATTAATAATTATTAATTAATAATTACGAACGTCGAAGATGCTTAACGGTCTCCGGTCACGGAGCTGGTACGGCCGATCGTAATAAAGTAGGTATACTCACCGGAATTCTCGTCGTATAGCATCCGCGAACGATGTACAGAAATTTCTCCCGAAGCCTTCTACAGTCGTCCATAAATTTTACCTGTAGGTACAATGGTTTTTTGACGTTTGCAATTATTACTATTTACTTAATAACTATATGTATAAAGTGTTAGATTTTTATTTTTATAATAAATATATAATATGTACGTGCAACACATACAATTTTATTACCGTTTTATTATTATCAAGACGCTTAAAGCTGATTTTAATTTTTACACGACTTTTCCAAAGTCGAATAAGATCATTATAAATGCATATACGGTATACCTCAACAGTGGATTATGAATATTATTGAATTATTCGTAAAAAAAAGCTTTGCACGACAATAATTTCGTTAAATCGACAATAATTAAATATAAATTAATGTAGTATACAACGTTTTAAGGTAGAATTCATTGTTTTTTATTCCTTTGTTTCATTGAGACTCTTGCAACCTATACAGTGTCAAAAACCATCGATCGCGCGTGCATAGTTGATTGTAAACGATACGTAGGTATATATTATAGACAACAACAAAGTTTACGCTGAATAACAGTAGTGATGTGTTCATAGTCAACGGTCAGTAGATTCCTCATCCAACCTACAACGATAATACGATAAAGTAAACAACGAAAACTTTAAATAATAAATAAATTACGTTAAAAGTTTCAGTGCCAACTGCAACTCGTAACAAAGTATATTTTAAGAATTTTTTATTAGGTGGCATTACCACTATTAAGTATTAAGTCGTAAGGACTAGTTCAAATACCTATATCGGGTATCATGGGCGTAAGCGCAGGAGGGGGGACTTAGGTTGGTTAGGTTATCTAATGAATTTTTGTTTTTTGTTTTTGCTCTTCTATTTTACAGTAAGACTTACACCCAACTTTATGTGTTAATGCTCTGAGTAACACAATCATAAGGATAAAACATTTATGTTTTTCAATAGATCATTATTAACAACTGTAGGTACCTATCTATTACAATAAAATAAAATACTTTGATGACTAATTTATCATTGTATTACATAATAATAATTAATTAAATTATTACCTATATAATTATTCATTCATGTATCAATTAAATATCTATAAATAATTTTGGAAAGTTTAAATTTACCATAAGGTTTATAATAATTTCTGTCATGCTTACTAATTTCATCAAATTTAATCACCTCTTTGATCAAACACACAATATTGTTTTAAAAAGTTTATATTAATATGCTATTTATAAGTAAATGCAACTACATTGAGTAACCACAATTTATAAAAATTAAGTTATTGCTCATTTATGATAAAATTATATTTTCAAATGATTCAGTACCTACATGATTATGAGACAAAATTGAAAAGTAAATCATCCTAATCGTAATAAATTTAATTTCAAATAAAAAATGTCATTTATTATAAATTTTTTTAAAATTAATATTAATAGAAAAAATACAATTATATCTATAAACTAAACACAACTATTCATACTGTCACTGATTATAGATAGAAGCTAAAGATTAATAAAACTAAATTAATTTATTATTATATTCATATTTCATAATTAATAAGACCAATGATTATGTGTACAATTTTGTACCTATAGACATCAAATGTATTATACTATTATGCACTAAAGTCTTAGTACTCTAACTGACGAAGTATAAGTGATTTCAAAAGCCTTGCTTCACAGGTCACATTGTTCAACTCTTTTTTACCAGTCGATTCCTCTTCTTCTGGCATTGTTGCTACCTCTTTGCCATGAACTAAAAATGTAAGTACATAACCATAAATAAATTCATATTTGTTTGATAACCACAGTATATTGTGTTTAACTCACATTCACATTGGTTAAGGAACACAAGACATTCATTGTAAAATGAATCTCTCATGACGATTATGTGCTTTGTCATGTTTTCAATCAATGACAACATACATCGTTTAGCATAAAACCTGAAACAATGTAGTTGATAACTTTAAAGCTATTAAAGTGTTTAAATATGAGTACAAAATTTGTGTAAGCAAAATACATATAAATTTTAACTTACCATGTGTCCATTCCCAGCTTTTTATTATAAGGTTCTAAACTTTTAATAACTCTTGAAATCCCAAATTCATAATTTCCTTTTGAGCAGTACAAAGTACTAAAAATCAAAAATCTTTTACACTTGTTTAAATTATTAAAAGTTATTTATCTTACCCAATAACTAGATTGACTATACAAAGATGAAAAACTTTTTTTTCTGGCTCTTGATAATATAGTCGCTCTTCTTCCTTTTCAATTTTTCTCATTAACTCTTCGGCTTCTTCATTCTGTGCAGTCATTATATGAGACACACATAGGTTGGCCAATACAATGGCACTTACCGAAAGAATCTTAAAATTTATATTAATCATATATTCAGTTTAATTAAAATTTTTTTTTTTTTTTCGATTAGATAGATTTATTTATTAGCAAGTAATAATATTTACATTATTGTAGTTTTTTTTTACAATTGGTTCATAAAATGCAATAGCTTCTTTGAATTTTTCTTGCATAAATAAAACATGTGCTACGTGTAATCGCCACGTATCATTTTCATTACAGAACTCAACAGATTTATAAAATATGGTTTCTGCTTGAGCGTAGTTTTCTAGATCCCAATAGATTTTTGCTTGAGCCATCGTAACTGGTATAAATCTACAGAATATTAAAAGTAAATTCTAAATAAATGAGTATTTTAAAAATATATGTATACCTACTTTTCAAGAGTGTTTTCATAATCAAGTAAAGCACTCTTAGCTCTTTTATCATCTCTGGCTTCTCTTGACTCTTGTACAGAACGTGTGGCTTTGCGCAAAGAATCAGCTAATTTATTTGCCATATTGTCAAGTTTGCGATATGCTTCATCAGGTGAAGTTTGTTGTGCAATAACAGCATCCACAAATTCTCGTATATACTAAAATTAATATTAATAAATAATATGAATACAATGTATCAGAGCAATTAATTGTTTTTACATTCGATAGATATTTGTCCTTGACTGGTGAGTATGTTGATATGACGTCAGAAGCCAAATCATGGTATCCGTGTTTGCAGTATAAAATCAATAGATTTTGTAACGTTTCTTGTGGATAAGTTGACTGCTGCATAAGAAATTGCAATTTATGAAATCCTTGGGTTGGTGACATATCCACCGAACACAATGCCTGGTTGTGCAATGTGACCGAGTCTAATTCTTCTTCCCATCTTGGCGGCATGTCAGTCATCGCTTCTCTCGCACTGTCAACTGGAAAAAGAATGTTGAGAAAATACACTCAATAGTATTTACAAATATTTTCTTTTTTACTGTCGTTCTTTTCAAACTGAATTGCAGCTTTTAAATTGAATGCTTCAACCAGGGCTGATTCATGAAGTGTCAGAGTGTTACCGACACTACGGACTTCAATTCCTTCAGTTGTCATGCCAATCCCTAGTTCAGGGTGTTCTCTTATGCCTCTATCGATAATATCACCTTTGAGTAATGAAAAATTCTGAATTATTTTATTAATAAAAGTGTGCATTGTAATATTACTAAAAAACAACCTATGTGTTTCAGTGATGAGGTAAAATCCTTTAGCTTATAATAGCATAGCGCAACGCTGTACGACAAATGGGGCCTATAGCCAAGCATTGTTTGTGCATTCAAAAATTTCTGTAATGCTTCTTCATACCGGCTCTCCTGAAAACATTTTTTTGAAAAGGTCTGTTCTACAACAATTAATTGAAATTATCAACATGCCTTGTAAAGTAGGCATCCATAGTTTATGTCTGTGTCTGGATCATCATTAAGACCAGAGTTGGTTTCCAACAAAGACCGGGCACCTGCTATATCTTCCATACCATATCTAATTGCGGCTGTTAGTTTTCGAACCTAACACAAAACACAGTGTAAGTACAAGTATCATTGTTGGTCGTACCTATTAACCGCCACACTTTGTTTTCATAACCGCTTGTAGTAATTCCATTCGCTACTCTCAAAGCATCTTCATATCGTCCAGCAGAGTAAAGTGATTGAGCATGTTGTAATTTATAATCAACTTCCTGTGGCCACAATGCGGCCAGCTGTTCATATATTGTTGATGCATTTTGGAAGTCGTCTGTATAATAGTAGCAGTAGGCTAATAAAGATAAGCCAGGTCTCGTCTGAATGCATTTAAAATTAATATATTAAAATGCTTATAAATATGTATGTATATATTATTTTTTAAAGATTTACATTTCTATTGTTATCTGACATGTTACTAATGATTTCAATAACATCATTATACTGTTTTTCTTTGATCTATATCATAAAAAATTG